TTAAAATTTTGTAAATTCTCTTGTAAATTATTTTTATTAAATTAATAAAATAAAATAAAACTTTAAATAAATTTAAATCTTATATTCTTAATGACATCATTTGATAATAGCTTCTAATATAGCTTCTAATATGGCAGCTTCTAATACCACAGCTTCTAATATGGCTTCTACCTCTAATATAGCTTCTACTTCTAATGTAGCTTCTATCTCTACTGCAGCTTCTATCTTATTAACTCAAAAAAACAAATATAAAACTTTTTTAAATCTCCAATTTATGATACTAGCAAAAGAAAAACTAAATGCTATTTATGCACAGATAAAAAGTATTTTGTTATGAGCAATAGTGGTACAACTAGTTTACGTAATCATATTTTTAAAATTCACCAAATCAATATTTTAGAAACAGCTAGTTCTGAAGATTTTATGATTGTGGCTTCTCAATCAAGTGAATATATTCTTAGAGAAGCATTAATCAAATGTATTTACTACTATTAAATCAGAAGATTTTCATAAACTAGTTGAGATAATTAGAAAATTAAAAGGTAATATTATAGTTTTTTTTTGTCAAGACGGTCAAACATAATTTAGTAAACAAATACTTAGTTCTCAAAAACTCATTAAAAAATATATTAATGAATAATTTAAGTAAAATATCTCTTACTACTGATCTCTAGACTAGCAAGAGCTATAAAGCCTTTTTGAATATTATAGCATATTGAATTGATAAAAACTAGAAAATTAAGTTCCAAGTACTTGATCTTGTGCTATTTGAAGAATTGCATACTGGAGAGAATATAGCAAATATCTTAATTAGTATTTGTAAAGATTTTAGTATAATTAATAAAATACTTGGAATAACTATAGATAATACTTTAAATAATAATATGTTTTTTGAGGTATTTGAGTTACAATATAAAGACATTGGTAGCATTTTTACTAAGCGTCATGGTTATATTCACTGCATAGTACATATTATTAATCTTACTTTACAAGATTTTTACATTATCTATATTCAAAAATGCCAGATCAAAATGAAGATAAACTTGATATTTTAGATCAATCTAACACAACTTGGACCCAACTCTGACTATTAAAAAATAGCTGATTAGGGTTTATTAATAAATCGTTCAAGCCCACCCCACCCTTTCCTGCTAGCCAATCAGATTTCATATTTATTAAAATATATAATTAAAATTATATATAATATTTAATATTGAATAACTT